GAGGCTGGCACCGACCCGCGTGAGTGGCCATGCGACGACCGCGGAGGGCCGCCATGGCCCTAGACATGTTATGTTGAAGTCATGAGCGAACGCGCACGGTCTCGAGGAGATCTTGTGGCTGGCGATGTATGGCCGCGAAACTCGCTCGGCGACATGTCATGGGCGCCCGACGGTGGATGTGTGACCTTGTTCTTGCGTAGCCATGGGAGGTGTCGAACTCCATAGGAGCTTGATGCGAGTGACCTTGCATGATCCGGCGCACGTCGTCTGGGATTAGAGGCGGCGGAGGATTGCAACAAAGCGGCGGCGGCGAGGCCGCGAGAGCTGGCGCGGAAGGGCGGACAAGAACCACTGCTAATGTGCAAAGGAGGCAGAGCGCCCGACGGGCCAGGCACAGGCAGAGTCGGGTTGTCGTACAATATTGGATGCACGTCCTGTAGTGTAGGCGCCTTCGGGACTATGTGGATTGATGCGGATGGCGCGCGAGTAGGTGTCGAGTGCGTCGTGGTACTGATCAATCCGGGAACAGATTGACACCGATAGAGCACCAGAGCATTGGGTGACGGCCCTTGTAGCAGACCATCCGCTGCTACGCCTCGTACGCCTCGTACGCCGTACGCCTTGTTGTATTTCTGGCCAGCAACGAATGCGCGGCCAAGAAGGTACCAGCTCTGCGCATAGCCAGGGTCGACGTGAGGAGGTGCTGAGATACACGTTCTTGGTCCTTGAAACGAAGTGTCGTCTTGATATTACAGACGACTTGGTGCGGGTCATGTCGGCAGCATGGTCGCGATCCGCAAGCTCTTTCTCGAACTGCTTGCGCTCGTCCTCCATCTCCTCTGCGAGGCGCTTCCGCAAGACGACCATGTCTGCGCTCTCGCCGTGGATCTCCTCCATGCGAGACTCAAGCTCTTGTACGCGGATCTCAGCATCCTTGAGCCGTTGAGCAAGACCATCACGTTCAGCAGCGGTGGCATTGAGGGTGTTCTCCTGATCGGCCAACAAACGTTTGACTACGGAGCGGTGAGTATGAAACGACATGAGGCTGGGGAGGTGGCAACGTACAGACAGCCTCGGAGCGCTCGAGCTTGACCTTGTCGATCTCGAGCTCCTCGAGTCGGATGCGGTAGGTCTCTGCCTTGGTCTTGAAAGCCTCGACAGCGTCGCGCAGCTCTGACTGAGCACTTGAAGATGAAGTAGACGCGACCTCAAGATCCTGAAGACGTTGAAGGGCTTGACGCTTGGACACTGTAAGGCCATCAACACTTTGTAAGCTCAAGAAAGTAGACAGTATACTCACTGGTCTCTTCCTTCTTCGCAAGCGTCTCCGACTCGAGCCGATCCTTCAACTCCGCGATTTCATGCTGCAGCTTCTTCTTGGTCTGCGCAAGCTCGACATTCGCACGCTTATGCGTCTCAGCCTCCAGCTGCGCGTTCTTCTGCTGCACGACGAGCGCCTTTCGGCTCTCCTCCAGACGCGCGTAGTTCTCGCGTTCGGCATCAAGTTGGCTCTGGAACTTGGTCCACATCTCTTGTACACCAGTGAGCTGGGCCTGCTGTGCAGCACGACGAGCTTCCGCTTCGTCCGACAAGAGCTCGCCCAGACGCGTGTTCTCCTTCGCCAACCGAGAACGGTACGCTTGCAAGCTCGCCTTGGATCCATCAGAGTTGTCCAGCTCAGCAGTCAACTCGCGCAACGAAGACTCAAGATGTTGCCGTACGCGATCAGACGCGGCCATCTTGATCTCCAGCACCTGCATCTGCTGCTTGAGCGACGCGACCTCCGCGCTCCCACCGCTCTTCCTCGGACTCCCGGGCGTAGGCGACGCACTCGACAGCGACTGTACACGTTCGCGCACGGTCCCGTTCGTCGACGCGCGCTTCGAGCTAGGCGTAACGGTCGACTTGATACCCGGAACAGGGATATTCCTCGCGCGCATCTCGCTATCGATCTGCTCTTCCGACCTCGCAATCTCGCGGAGCAGTCTATCGCGGAACGTGTCGTCGTGTGAGCCTGGCGCCATAACAAGCTTGCGAATCTCCTCGTGCTGCCTGTCGATATGCTCGCGGGTGAGCTGGGCCGTATCGCGCGCCATATTCGCCTCCTCCAACTGCCTCTCGAGCTTCGCGATCCGCGCCTCGGTCTCCCTGGACGCCTTATTCGCCGCACTAGTAGACGACGCCTCCGTCTCGTCCGCGATCCGCGCCAGATCCGTCTCCAGCGCGTCCTTCGCCCGCTGCATCGCAAGGAACTGCTGCGTAACCTCGGCGATCTGATCATGCGCGCTCTGCACGTCCGCCTGCAGCCTCCTCACATTGCTCTCCGCCGCCTCCCTCCCCCTCCTCTGATCCTCCGCCGCCGCCCTCTCCTCCGCAGCCCTTACAGCCTTCTCTTTGGACCTCAGCTGCACATGCTCCTGCTCCGTCGCCCTCGCCAGATCCTCCGCCTCGCTCGTCAACCTCATCTT